TGGAGTTTTAAATTATATGATTATTCGGAGGATAAGACTAGCCGATATAGAACATTGTGAAAATGAACTGGTTCGGCTTAAAATAATATTTCTTGAGAATAATTACCCCCTAGGCTTGATTAAAAATAACATTAGATTAATAAAGAATAGCTTTTTGAATGGTGAATACGTAAGGTGAGATAAGGAGGCCTTTTCTCATGTTTTATCTTTGCCTTCATGCATTCCCTCTAAAATGAGGGGTGAACAAGTAAGAAAGTGGTGAATAAAAAAGGTTTTCATGGAAATTACAACACTTTCTTAATTTACGGCCACTTTTAGAGAGAAAGTTAACTCATTATCCAGATCGGGTTGCTACAAAATAATGTGTTCATGTGGTCGCTTTTATGTTGGAGAGTCTTGTCGTCCCATTCGACAAAGAGTGAATGAGCACAAAAGCTCCTGCAAAGGTTGCTGGGTTCAAAAATCTGAGCTCGCTGAGCACAGGGCAGAAACGGGACATGAGATTGAATGGTCTCAAACTTGTCGTTTTGCAGATTATGGTATGTTTTCGGCTAAACGTAGGATTAGAGAAGCCATAGAAATAAACCGAATAGGAAATACCTTGAATGTAAGGAATACCAGCAAGAAGATAAGTAAAAATTATTTGTGCTTAATTAATAGACTGAAGGATAGAAAGGGAGTTGAGCCGCCTGAAAAAAGGAGGCGACTCAACTAGTCTTTTCTTGTTTTGGTTCTAATGCTAGTCAATTCTCTGTACTTTTAGTTCACTGTTTCTCTCGCATTAAGACCAAAAACAAAAAATAGGCTCATCAACAAAACCAGACGTGTGTCCGACCTTGCGCAATCGGAGTGATGGTTATAACTTAAATGCAGAAAAGGAGATATGGGTCATCAAACCTTGATGGCTATAAACCGACATTCCTTTTTGCTGTCCTAATTACTTTGAGCCATCACTGCGGGTTTCGTGCGTAAGCGAACACAAACAGACACACTCACATACATCAAACTTGACATATGACCTTAACTAATCAAATCACTTTATACTTGATCAAGGAGGCCAGATGTAGAGTATATATACCACTTTTAAGGGATTTGCCGGTGAGTTTTCTTGACGCGTAAGCTTGAATTTTGTTGTGACGATGTTGCCTCGCTCTGATGATGTCCGTCATATGGCGGATGAAAGCTTAGCACCTTTTCATCGGAATCAAGGGAGATTGCCTCGAAAATAGCGTCAACATGAATCCGCCGTCGTCTTCTGGTGGAACCGACCTACGAATCTCTTCACCCAACACTTTCACTCAAATGGAAGTAGATTGAAAAAGTTTTATAAGAGTTTTGGCTTGTAGAGTAGAGAAAAAAAGTAGGGGCACCAGTGCTAAACCAAACTTTCCAATATATATATATATTACAAATATACGCCATTATTACATATTTTAAAAAAGTTATTTATTTTTTACGATTATAAAAAATGAGGTTAATGTGAACAGTCCTTAGCCTGAGAGAAATAATAAGTAATGGACGCTTGAAAGTAGACTCAAGGCAATTACATGATTCTTTCCATATAAACTAGCTATAATGCAAAGTTAGGCAAATGCGGTTCGATAGAGTGCAATACGAGTAAATCAATGATATGAGGCTAAATGAAAAGCAGAAACAAGGTTTTTAAATAAGTTTATGCAATACGTGATAATAGGACGAAAATACGACAAAGTAGCACATACGACTTTAAGCCGAGTACCCGATATTTTCAAACAATTAATGAACAAAAAAGAAAAATCTAAAAATGCATATCTAAAATAAATATTCAAACAAAAACGTTCATGACAAATGGTTAAAATAACTCATTATCTTGGCAGAAGTAAAAAGTAACAAAATGCCCTACTATTAAAGGATGTAGTGATAAATGTAGTGAATCACAGGGGCAGATAAAAAAATCAACTCAAACAGTTTTAGGGATAGTAAAAATAACATATTAATTGCTAGCTCTTGAATTTACCGATAGGTCGATTTGAGCCAATTGTATTGAAATAGGACTGTATCCTCCTGGACCAGACTTAAGTGTCCCTGCAATACTAGAAGCCGGTGGGCTAGAGACGAGGTGGCAATTATCAGAGTTGACTCGCGACACCTGAAAGCCGAGATCCATAGACACTATAGAAGGTTCTTCCGCATGCCCACCGGGGGCTGATATCCAGTCAAGCCGGGGTTGGCCCTCTGGCCTGGAGCCGGCATGCGGATGATATTGGTGGTGGCATTGGTTTGATACTGTGGATGGAGAGGGAGACGGTGAGTGGGGAGGAGAGGAGGATGGAGAGGCAGCAGAAGAGAAAATTGACGTAGATGAAGAAAATGAAGAGAGCTGAGATTGATGAACAGCACTGGCTGTAACTTCACTCTCTGCACTGGACACGGGTGCTTCAACAGAGGAAGAAATTGCCGATGCGTGGAAAGGCTGGGCTAGTCCAGGGGCCGGTGGACTGTGTATCTCTGCATTTGACCTAGCCGCTCGTTGCTGAGACTCGTAAGGCATGACGTCCTTGCACGAAGTATTCGTAATAGTTTGACGCAACCGATTCTTGGAGCT